CCCCAAATTCCTCTTCTCAATCTCTAGATTGGAAACCCTCAATTTCTTCAAAGCTTCAAGCTTTTTGTTCTTGCTTCGTTTCCAATCTCTCCTTTGATTCGTCGAATCTCTGGGTTCTTCGAGCTTGTCTCATCAGGGTCGAGGTCGAATTCGCGGAATTTGCTGTCAAAACCCTAACTTTGGTTCGTGGGTTCGGCTCCGGATTGTGGGGTCATCTGGAGCTCGTATTGGTTAGTTTTCGATTTGAAACCCTAACTTTATATTTTTATTGTACGGATCAATTTGCTTGTGTAGTTCGATTCGGTGATTGTTTGATAGCTTCATGTTCTTGGAAAAGATTGTAGTTTGAGCAGATTTCTATCTGGATTGTTGTTCCCTTTCTTTTGTCTGGTACGTAGCTAATTGATTTGTGTGTGTTCAACTTGGAAATAGCTCTTCTTTGGATAAAGCCTGCAAATTTAATTGTTTCTGTATCGTTTGTAGCAATATTATTAGCCAGGATGATTATTCATTAGCTGAATTTGAACTTCCAGAGCTTCATTGCTTAATTCGAGTTAGTTTTACGTTTACTCAAGATCACAATTTTTCTTCCCCATAGTGTGGAATCTTTGGGTGGAATCTTTGTCATGCTAAGTTCAGATTTTCACTTGAAGTGATTTATGTTATAGGGAAAGTTTCAAGCTGGATTTTTTTAGAGAATGCGGTACCTGGTAGATAGTTAGGTAGGGTTAATACGCTCTCTTTTGACAGCTCATATGTGATATGATTTCAGCAAATGAGTTTCTTTTCTTGTTTTGATTTTCATCTTATATGAGTTTAGTGTAAGTTGAACACAGAGGATGCTTTTATGTTTCAGGGTTTACTTCCATCAATGGGGTTGCGCTGTCGTCAGTGCTAATTTTATGCTGTAAGGAGAAATTGCAATATAAAAGTGGAAGTCCATGAAAAAGTTCCTTATGGTATTAGAATGTGGATTAGTTCTTAGAGTTTGTTGTGGTATATTGATGTCAGAACCAGTATGCCGGTTATAGTTTGGAGAAATGCAAAGGTATCATCCTACCAACTGCACTAGTGCAGTCAACAATAGCGCTATAGGTGGTGCATCCGCTAGGGATTCAGGACGAGCTGATTCCTCTTCGATTGGAAACTACCCACTAAACTCCAGGCATGTCTTTAGAAAGAAGTCCTTGCATAGCATTTTATGTTGATACACTTGAAGACGTGTAAATACTTTCTTTACTGCAGGAGGCCACAACCATTGACACCCTACAAGTTGAAGTGTGAAAAGGACGGTCTCAATTCCCGGTAATTCCTCTCACTTATCCCTAGTTTAGTTTTTGAATCTACCCATTATAGTTTGGGTACGTAGCTTGGGATTCGTTGCTTCATCTCCGCAAGGCCAAGTCCTTGGAACGCTTGTTAATGGATGAAGTTGATGACTCTTTTCCACTCTTGAGTTGCTTTCCTAGAAGATTTATACCTTTTCTCCAAAATATTGCAGACTAGGACCGCCTGATTTTCATCCTCCAACATCAAGTTCCCCCGAAGAGAATCTGACCAAAGAGTATGTTCAATTTGGATACAAAGAAACTGTTGATGGGCTTAAGGTGCGATCAATTGAATTTCGTTAAGCTTTCTTATTATGCTATTTAAAATTTGGAAAATCATACTAATTGATTAGTATTAACATGGTGGCAAACCTTATCTTGGACACATGTCTACGTTATTTTCCTATAAATGCTCAACTCTAAAATAGGAAAAATGTCTTACTGAGGCAGAATGTTCATTGTTGGTCAATGTTATTTCATGTGCACTTACATTATTGAAAGTTTCATCTTTCCTGATGTTAGAATTTTTGATTCCTTACTCCAATAGTTTCCGTCGCATTAATATCCATTTTCTAATTGATGTTCTGTCCCTTGACCTTTTTAGGAAGCCGACGAGATTATATTGACCCAGGTCCATACTTTTTCAAAGCCTGTTGTCTTAAAATGCAGAGAGGTACAGTACTAGAGAGTATAGACAGGGTTTTCTCCCTTATGTTTGTGATCTCTATTGGAATTCGTTTGTATTTCACATGAAATTAAATTCAATTTCTATCCGCAGTCTGTCAGAAAGTGTCAAAGAGCTATCAATGAGTCTCGTGCGCTGAAGCGCAAGGTAATCGAGCGATTCCCAGACTCCATTCCTTTTCAATTTAGAATATGCTCTTTGTGCAGAACTTCAGGGTTTAATTCCCAATCATTTTGCTTATAACTTAGAACGTCCAATTTAAATGGCAGGCTGGTCAGGTTTATGGGGTGCCTCTCTCTGGTTCGCTTCTATGTAAGCCTGGATTTCCAGAACAACGATCATGTGGGGAGGAGACGAAGAAAAAATGGATCGAGGTACCCTGGCATATCATTATGCTTGTACTTTTGGCATAACTGCCACTATATATAAATGACCACATTTAATTGTTTTGTGGAAAAACTAACAATTCAAGTCTTCTTCTTGGGTATAGGGATTTTTGATTGATTGAGACACATGTACTAGATCTTCTACTTAACTCATTCTTGCTCCCATTTTTTCTCAGAGTTTATCACAACATCACAAACGATTGCGCTCTTTGGCTGATAACATTCCTATAGGATATAAGAGAAAATCCTTATTTGAAGTGCTTGTAAGGAACAATGTCCCATTACTGAGAGCTACCTGGTTTATAAAAGTGACTTATCTTAATCAGGTACGTTGTTGGGCTATAAATTGATTATCTCTAAGACTTTTGTGGGAGTTAGAGGATATCAATTTTTGCTTCCGACTTGCAGGTGCGACCTAGTTCTGCTGCTATTTCTTCAGGAACATCTGACAAGTCACAAACTACTCGTTGTGAGCAATGGACAAAAGATGTTATTGAATATTTGCAATACCTCTTGGATGAACTTTTGTCACGGAATAGTTCATATCCTGCTCAGCAAACTAGAGATAGGTCACCACAGATGCTTTATACAGGATCAATGCAAAAGATTAGTCCAGCATCAGCAAGCCATTACGGTGAGGAAACATCTCTGTATTTTAAATGGTGGTATATGGTGCGTCTTCTACAGTGGCACCATGCTGAAGGGCTTCTTTTTCCTAATCTCATTGTTGATTGGGTTCTCAGGCTCTTACAGGTATGCTGCTAAATGAATTATTGATTTAAGATGGATTTTCTTTTGTTCAGCTTTGTGATTTTCCTTTTTTTATTTATTGCAGGAAAAGGAGGTCTTTGAAATTTTGCAGTTGCTACTCCCCATTGTGTATGGTGTTTTAGAGAGCATTGTTCTTTCTCAGACATATGTACAGAGTCTTGTAGCTATTGCTGTCCGTTTCATCCAGGAACCTGCCCCTGGTGGATCTGATCTTGTTGATAACTCTCGAAGAGCTTATACTCTCTCTGCGCTAATTGAGATGGTTCGCTACTTGGTACTTGCTGCACCAGACACATTTGTTGCTTCAGATTGCTTCCCTCTACCTCCTTCCATAGCAGCATGTGGACCCAATGATGTGAGCTATGCATCAAAGGCATATGAGAATCTGGAAAAGCTGAGAAGTAATTCTGCAGAGAATTCTACTCAGTTTCAAGGGAGAGGAGTTGATTCCCGGTTTGAGTTCCTTTCTTTTGATTATACCATTTCAACCATTCAAAGAAGTGCAGATGATTTGGCAAAGATAGCTAGCGCTGGTTATCCTCAACATAACGTGGCTAAAGCTGTTCAGGCCTTGGATAAAGCTCTATCGGATGGAGATATAAGAGCTGCTTACTGTTATCTCTTTGAAGATCTTTGCAATGGAGCTGTTGATGAGACCTGGATGGCTGAAGTCAGTCCATGCTTAAGATCATCCCTTAGATGGATTGGGGCGATTAGCACATCCTTTGTTTGCTCCGTTTTTTTCCTTATTGAATGGGCGACGTGCGATTTTAGGGATTTCCGGGCTGGTGTGCCTAAAGATATCAAGTTCTCTGGCAGAAAAGATTGTTCTCAGGTGTATTTAGTTATTCAACTTCTGAAGCAAAAAATTCTGGGTGGAGAATTTGCAGCTCGCATAGGAAAGAACCGTCGCAGCAATTTTCTTGGTATTTCTAAACCTGGCAGTTCGATGGATGCATTTGAAAGTCCGGGCTCATTACATGATATCATAGTCTGTTGGATTGATCAGCATGAGATACACAGGGGAGGAGCAAAGCGCTTGCAGTTACTTATTTTTGAACTTATACGTTCTGGAATCTTTAATCCCATAGCATACGTGAGACAACTCATAGTTAGTGGGATGATCGATGTGATTCAACCTGCAGTTGATCCTGAAAGGAGAATGAGGCATCATCGCATATTGAAACAGCTACCTGGGTGTTTTGTACATGACACCTTAGAGGAAGCACAGCTCTTAGTAGGGGAGAAACTTTCTGAGGCTGTGAGAACTTATTCAAATGAACGGCGCCTTCTTCTTCGAGAGTTGGTTGTTGATAAAGGTAAATACTTGAATAATTTAGTTCTGTCAGATCATAAGTCAAAGAAAAATTTCACTTCCCTTCCGCCGGTTGATTTGTCAAGAACGGGTAATGCCATGGCCGATTATGAGGGACTTCGGAAACATACCAAGAGCAATGTGGATATTAGAGAGCTAAAGGAACGCATATCAGCTCTGCTACAGTTTCCTGGTATGTCATGTGGTGTAACAAATCCAGTGCAAGATGAATTTCAGAGTAGTGTTAAGGGATCAAGTGGATCTGTGTATAGCAAGATGGATCAACCAGAAGCTACACCAGGGTGTGAAGACTGTAGAAGAGCGAAAAGAACAAAAATGAATGATGAAAAGAGCTCTTGCTATCAAGGGAATTCTCCAATAGCATCAGATGAAGAAGATAACTGGTGGATCAAGAAGGGATTGAAAACTCTGGAGCCTTCTCTGAAGGTTGATCCTCCGATAGAGTTAACTAAACAAGTACCACGGGGTAGGCAAAAGATGGCACGTAAGACACAGTCGCTGGCTCAACTACAAGCTGCTAGAATTGAAGGTAGCCAGGGCGCTTCAACAAGTCATGTTTGTGATAATAAAGTAAGCTGTCCTCATCATGGTCCTGGAGTGGAAGGAGAGAACCATAAGGTGGTTGATGTGTTTAGAACTTCTATCCCTGTGGATATTGTATCTGTTGGAAATTCTTTGAAGCAGCTACAGCTTGTTGATAAGCGGTCTATTGCAGTTTGGCTTACAACTGTGGTTCGGCAACTTGTTGAAGAGTCTGAAAAGAGCAGTGTAAAAGTTGGGCAGTTCAATAGAGGTGCTCCAGTTGGAGAGAAGAGCACAATTAGGTGGAAGCTTGGGGCAGACGAGCTTTCTTCCATATTATTTCTCATGGATATCTCTCTTGACTTGGTTTCAGTGGTTAAATTTCTTCTTTGGTTATTGCCAAAGGCCAACAGTAGCCCAAGTTTTGCCGTTCAGGGTGGGAGGAACCTTCTAATTGTGCCAAGGAATGTTGAAAACATGTGTGAAGTAGGGGAGGCTATTCTAGTATCATCACTTAGGAGGTTGGTTTTACTTCCCGTTCGATAAGTGACATTAGTCATATATATATTGACGCTGTATTTCTAGAAATCTAATTGGTGTGTATCATCAATTTCTTTCAGGTATGAAAACATTCTACTTTCAGCAGATCTTGTTCCCGAGGCCATGACAGCTTTGATGGCCCGTGTTGCATCACTTATGTCGAGTAACGGAAAAATTTCTGGATCAGCAGCCTTAGTTTATGCTCGCTATATTTTGAAAAGATATGGGAGTCTTCCCAGTGTAGTGGAATGGCATAACAATTTCAAAGCAACATGCGAAAAGAGGCTTCTTTCTGAACTTGATCATACACGATCAGGAAATGGAGAGTATGGAATCCCCCTTGGGGTTCCAGCAGGAGTAGATAATCCGGATGAGTATTTACGTAAAAAAATCAGCATCAGCGGTTCACGACCTTCAAGGGTGGGTTTGAATATGCGAGAGGTTGTGCAACGACATGTTGAAGATGCGACTCATTATCTCAGAAAACTCATTGGTACTGGTACTATGAAAGCCTCACTTGCTGAGAAAAAAGATGATGGGTATCAGGTGGCTCAACAAATTGTAGTTGGACTAATGGACTGCATTAGACAGACTGGCGGTGCAGCTCAAGAGGGTGATCCTTCTTTGGTTTCTTCTGCGGTTTCTGCAATCATAAACAGTGTAGGCTTATCCATGGCAAGGATTTCAGATTTCTCTGTAGGAAATATTTATCAGAATCATCCGTCTGGCGTAGATTCATCTAATATTGCACGATACATATTGCAAATCCACATAACCTGCCTCTGCCTTCTAAAGGAAGCTCTTGGAGAGCGTCAAAGCCGAGTGTTTGAAATAGCGCTTGCAACAGAAAGTTCCACTGCTCTTGCTGGAGCTTTTGCCCCTGGGAAGGGATCCCGGGGACAGTATCAGCTATCTCCGGAATCCTATGATTCAAATGCGAACAACTCGACAAATGATATGCCAAACGGTTCTGGCAAAATACCGCTGAGCAGAGCAACAAAAATTTCTGCAGCTGTATCTGCACTTGTTATAGGTGCTATCACACATGGCGTTATAACCCTTGAGAGGATTGTTGGTCTACTGAGACTAAGGGACTACTTAGATTTTGTTCAGTTTGTAAGGCGTACAAAATCGAGTTCTAACGGCAGTGCTAGGTCTGTGGGAGCCTCTAAAGTGGAAAACCCTATTGAAGTTTATGTACATTGGTTCAGACTCCTTGTTGGTAACTGCAAAACTATTTCGGAAGGGCTGGTTTTGGAGCTTGTGGGAGAATCTTCAGTGGTGGCTATATCACGTATGCAGCGCATGCTTCCGCTGAAGTTGGTCTTCCCACCAGCGTATTCAATTATTGCCTTTGTTCTATGGAGGCCGTTTGTTTCTAATGGTAACTCTAACTCCAGTGTACATGAAGACACTCAACGCCTTTATCAGTCTTTGACAATGGCCATACATGATGTGATTAAACACCTTCCTTTCCGAGACGTGTGCTTGAGAGACACCCAGGGACTTTATGAACTGATAGTTGCAGATTCCACAGATGCTGAATTTGCGTCGGTACTTGAGTCGAATGGTTTGGATATGCACTTGAAATCTGTGGCTTTTGCTCCTCTTCGTGCGCGCTTGTTCCTAAATTCCATAATTGATTGTAAGGTGCCATCCTCTGGTTATTCCCACGAAGGAGTTAGTGAAGCAAAAAGCAGATACCAGGGAAATGGGACAAAGCTTGTGGATAAGCTCGTATCTGTACTAGATTGCCTGCAACCTGCTAAGTTTCACTGGCAGTGGGTTGAACTCAGGCTGCTTCTAAATGAGCAAGCACTAACTGAGAAACTCGAAAATCACGATATGCCTTTGACAGATGCGATACGATCATCCTGTCCTACCTCTGAGAAGCCTGATGCCTCTGAAAATGAGAAAAATTTCATTCAAATCCTCCTCACAAGGTTATTGGTTAGACCTGATGCGGTCCCACTTTTTTCAGAGGTAGTTCATCTTTTCGGTAGATCGGTTGAGGATTCAATGTTGAAGCAAGCTGAATGGTTTCTAGCAGGTCAAGATGTTCTTTTTGGACGAAAAACAATCAGACAAAAATTGATTTTAGTTGGTGAAAGCAAAGGACTTCCCACGAAACCTCAGTTTTGGAAACCTTGGGGTTGGTGCAACAACTCCAGTTCCGATCGTATCACGGCAAACAAGCAAGGGAAGAAAAGAAAGTTGGAAGTTAGTTCTATCGAAGAAGGGGAAGTGATCGAAGAGGGGTTGGGTTCAAAAAAGGTGTTATTACCCCGGGCATTAGATGAGAGTAGTCTCAGTGTTGGCTATGGGATTACAACTGAGAGGGCTTTTGTTCAGCTGGTGCTTCCATGCATAGACCAAAGCTCTGATGAATCTCGAAGTACCTTTGTTAATGAGTTGGTAAGACAGTTTAGCAATATTGAGCAGCAGTTAAGCTCACTTACCAACCGCAGTACAACAAACAACAAGCACATCGGAACTGCTTCTTCTGGGTCTGAGGTTTCATCAAATAAAGGAAGTACCCGAAAAGTCCTTCGTGGAGGTGGTAGCCCTAGTTTGGCAAGAAGATCCTCAACCAACACTACTGACACTGCGCCACCGCCTTCCCCTGCTGCTTTGAGAGCTTCTATGTCTTTGCGGTTGCAATTTCTTTTAAGATTACTGCCTGTCATCTGCGGGTACTCAGTTTCTACTATCTTTTTTTTCCCCCATTCCGTTTATAACCAAATTTGTTGAAAAGTTGCTCTTTCTGTGTTACCATATTAAAGCATGAGTTATCTTTTTGTATGGTAATTAATTTTTCAGGGAAACTTCGTTTAGGAATACGAGACATGCACTTGCGTCTACAATAGTTCGTCTGCTTGGAAGCCGAGTAGTTTATGAAGATTCTGCTGTATGCTCTCCTCCTCGTAGTGACCTATCAAAGGCAGAGACAGAATCAACAATAGATCCTTCTTCCATGGCTGATTTTTCTAGCGAAGTCTTATTTGACCGGTTACTGTTTGTACTCCATGGGCTGTTGAGCAATCACCAGCCAAATTGGCTAAAGCCAAGGCCTTCCTCTAATGAATCATCCAAAGACTTTACCTTGTTTGATCGCGATGCAGCAGAGAGCTTACAGGTTTGTCAAAATTTTTTAATAAAATCCTCCAGAGTTCTGTCTTCTTGACTGAAAATTATGTTTCTTGAATTTTCTTGTTTTTGGCTGTCAATAATGTAGAATGATCTTGCACGGATGTCGTTACCAGACACCATTAGATGGCGAATCCAAGCTGCGATGCCAATCCTCCTTCCTTCCCTACGCTGTTCTCTCTTGTGCCAGCCACATTCTGTTCCTCCAACCGCACTCCAACTTGTTCAGCCCACAGGATCTGCTGCTGCTGGACCCAATCAAAGACATTCCCCTTCTATACCGAAAACCGGAACTGCAGCAGCGCAAGGGAAGCTGAAGCAGACACTGTTGTCGCCACCTCAACAACAAGAAGTAGACAACACAGACGTGGTTGACCCATGGACGCTTTTGGAAGACGGGACAAGTTCAGGTCCATCAAGCAGCAACACGTCAAACAGCAGCGACATGTCCAATCTCCGAGCCACCTGTTGGCTGAAAGGCGCAGTGAGGGTTAGACGGACTGATCTGACTTACATTGGCTCAGTGGACGACGACAGCTGAATTATTCCACAGTTTCAAAAAAAAATTTTTTTGATGATCATGAGAGCCCTGGAAAAGTAAGAAGCAAGGAGCGGAAAAGCTTGGATCTTCGGTGCCTTACGACTGCATCATTTATTGAGGGCTCATAAGATTGAAGAAGGAAGTCTTAATGAGAGATCTCTGAGTCTGTGTGGCTTCTTCAGATCTTTGTATTTTAACTACTAACCCTTTTGCTTTTTGGTCACACCACTTCATCTACCCCGGACCCATACTGGTTCGGAGCCCTGTTGTATATATAGGGATTCGAAATTAATTTGTCTCAGTTTCTTGTTCCATTATTTATCCATTATGAATTCTATATGTAGCCCTTCTTGATATGATGAACACTTATCTCTTCTTTTTTGCATGAATTTGCAGTTTCTGTGACTTGATGGAGAAACTTTAGCTTATAATTCTTTCTGACTTCTTGATATGTTTTGGAGAATCCAGAATTTGAGAAAAGAAGCTGGATATTTTTCAAGATAGATTTTACATTGATTATATCTAAATTTACAAGAGAGTGAAATAATAAAGAAACATAGAAATCTTCTCAAAAGGTAAGAATCTTTATCTACAACTTATTCACTACCTCTCATGGTCTTGTCTACAAAGAGAACATCATCAATCCAAGCAACTATGTTAAAAGCTAGACCTTCTAGTACTCTTGAATAGCTCTCCAACACAGCTTTCCCAACATCCTGAAACCAAAAACTAAATTATATATGAAACAACTCAAAACATTGCATGCATGTGTACTGCTTTGCTTATAACAATCAAATTCAATGTTCAGTTTACCTTATTGTACTGAATCTTGCATATATCTAATGATGTCTGAGACAGTTCTGGATAAC